GAAGGTGGTTTTGTTCCCCCCCCCCCCCCCCCGTTTATGTTAGTGCATGTCACACGCTTGGCATGCACTGGTCTAAAACTGGTGTGACTGGTATGACAACTAAGTGGCTATTTACTTATCTTCGTGGACTTAATGCCTCAGAAAGTAGACTTGAAAGCCAAAACTTCATGGTGCATGATGTTCCAAGTGAGTGGTATTACTGAGGCTTATCCATTAGGTCATGGTTCCCTAGTGTGATGCCCGTGGGCGTCATGTCATCCACCATTACTCTCCCTAGTGTTCACCAGGCTTTTCAGAAAGTGAGTGGGGCCATTGTAAGGCAGGGCTTGTTACTGGCTGTCCTCATTCAGATGAAAGGGTTTCCCATGGCTTCAGTATAGCAACAGCCGCTGGAGGATCAGGACTGGTAGGTACTGGGTTTTTCTTAACCAGTATGTGGTTCCATTCCCTTTTCAGGCTTCCCTTCTTTTTATTCCTCCAGTCCTTTTTGCCATCAGGCTTTCCATTTTTTAATTCCCTCTTCTTCTCTCTTCCTTCTCTCTATTCCCTTTCTGTGATTTCATTTGCAAAGCGAGAAGGGAGATGTTGCATTTGTCTCCATCTCCTGTGGCAGCCATTTTGTGGTGGCCCTCACCACTCTCAGAATTCTAAGTGACTCTGCTTTAGGTCCTCTGGTAAAATAATGGATCCTGTTACTAAATTTTTTTTAGGTAATGATCATTTAAGTGTATGATAAAAATTAGCCTAGCCTGTGAGATTCCCAGATTTCTTTCATGATGTATAAAATCGAGAATCACAATTCCTAGTGGATGATAGGGCAAGTTACAAACTTGCTTGCCTGAAAAATTCTGATTTGTTTGGGGGAGTAAAACAAGGCATTAGATTTCACCAGTTTGATTCTGCTGGCATTTGTTCCGGAAAGTGTTCTGAAAGTCTAATCGTACCACAATCTCTGGTTATTTAAAAAAGTCATAGGAAGACATAGGTGGAAAGTCAAACATTTCATTTGCAAAAAACAAGTTGTATTTACAGGATGTTGGATAAAAATGGAACTACATGAAAGATGCATTGATCTGGAGGCACTTATCTGAGATCATACTCTTCCATTCTGAGTTCATTAATCTAGAGTACTTGTTACCACCCACTCACCTGAGCCCAGGTAGGAGCTACATGTAATTCAACACAATAAAGTTAAAAAAACTATGAACAAAAATGGGTTCTGTTCTGTGTCCATACTTCCCCTCTTCTGTGCAACAACCAAGGACTTTGTGCACAAAGCCTTTTTAAAGTGAATTAAAGTTGTGTTGTTTGGTTATTGGGGAGAGGAGGGGAGAGCTGGGGTTAGTCTTCCTAAGTTCCCCCTTCCTTGCCAAACAGCTGATTAAATGAAATTTAGTTTTTTAAAACTTGTTGCCTCGTGTACACTGTCTTGGACTAAAGCTTCTGATTCCTTCCTCAATGTCACAGTTCATGTACTTGAGCTGCAATGTAACCATAACTGTGGACACAGAGTGTTGTCAAAGGGAATTACTTTTAATCAGTTTCTAGCCACCCTGATAATAGTTACTTAGGTATCATTAAGGTGGAGCTAGCCTGTGTCTGAACAGGGCCTGTGCCTCAGTGGTAAAGCATCTGCTTTAAATGCAAACGGTCCCAGGTTCAATCCTGGGCATCTATAGTTAAAAGTATCAAGTAGTAGGTGAATGACCTCGGCTTAAGACTCTAGAGGGCCACTGATAGTCTGAGAAGATAATACTGACTTTGATGGACCAACCATCTGATTCAATTTGAGGCAGCTTCATGTATTCCTGCGTTTATGATTTGTATGTTCATTTTTGTATAGTCACATAAGGTAAAGAGACTTTGAAAAATAATCCCAGTTATTCAGTGTTTTGCTTTGCATCTTAATTTTCAGCAATTGCAAAATGCAATCAATAGGATTAAATCACTTAAATA